AAATGAACTAATTGAGTAAATTTCTTACATTGTCAGTACATAGAACTTATACCTACTTGTATAATAAAATAAACAACTTGTTATTACATGTGAAATTATATTGATAGTATTAAAAAAATTACATTGTTTGTGTATCACTTTGACTTGATTGTTTTAAAGTAAAGTTTCTCATCATTGGTGATATACTACACTGTATAGTCACTCTCAGAAATAATAACCGGAAAATTTTGTATACATTTGTCTGTTTAAGTAGAGGATGTAATTATATTTTGCCGACCGGCTAAATATGTAACTTGCCCTATTGTTATTTGCCGACCGGCTAAATGTGTAACTTGCCCTATTGTTATTTGCGTCTAAATGTCTCAGCTGGGCTGGCTATATGGATGTGCAACAGAGGATGTACTCACTGGGCTTCTTATCCAAGGGAAAGGCTGGAGATCCGCTTACTGTGCACCCGACCCGCCTGCTTTTCTTGGAACTGCACCTTCGGGTGGGCCGGCCTCGATGACCCAACAGAAGAGATGGGCTAATGGGCTTTTTGAAATTCTTTTCTTCAGTAAAAGCCCAATTATTGGAACTCTTTTCGGAAAGCTTCAATTGAGGCAATGCATGGCTTATTTGTATATCCAACTATGGGCCTTGAGATCCATTTTTGAAGTTTGTTATGCTATTCTGCCTCCCTATTGCCTCATCACCAATTCCAGCTTTTTACCCAAGGTGAGAATATTGGGCCTAGCCTATTACACATATCTTTGTAAAAGTTTTACGGGCTAGCCATTTTCGGACTAATTTTAAAAATAGCCAGTATTTTTAATTGTTTTTTGAAAAGTAGCTACTTTTAATGTGGAAATATCATGATAGTGTCATGGATTTCAAACTTAAACGAGTGAAAAATACAGGATATTGCCTTGATTTTTAAAATCCATAGATTTCAAACTTTAAAATAGTAAAACTACATGACAATGTTCTGGACATGGAGTTTGTCGCAACTTATGGATTTACATACAATTACATATTTATTATTTCAAAATCTTGAGCTGAGGATCTATCGAAAACAACCTCTTTACCTCACACAAGTTAGGGGCAAAGTCCACGTACACCCCATTCTCTCAGACCCCCACTTGTGGGATCACATTGGGTTTGTTGTTGTTATCGTTGTTTTCTCAAAGGTTACTCTCAATCGACTTCATTTGCTACATGTGCAGGCTAATGAACCAAGTATGGTTATACCGGCATCAATCTTTATCATCTACAATCTATATGGTTTATCAGAGTATGTTAGAGCAAATGAGCCAATAAAAGCATGGTTGAACAATCAAAGAATGTGGAGAGTCAATGCTATGACTGCATGGCTATTTGGGATTCTAGGTGCTACAACAAAATTACTTGGAATTTCTGAGACTGCATTTGAAGTTACAAAAAAGGACCAAGGAAATGATGGAGATGACACAAATAATTCTAATATTGGAAGGTTCACATTTGATGATTCACCAATTTTTGTGCCTGGCACTGCAATTCTCTTATTGAACCTCAGTTCCTTGTTCATTGGGATGTTAGATTTTAAACAAGGGAAGGATTGTGAATGGGGATTAGGAGAGGTTATATGCATTATGTGGGTACTTTTCATATTTTGGTCATTTTTGAAAGGGTTATTTGCTAAAGGGAAGTATGGGATTCCAGCAACAACTATTCTCAAGTCAGGGGCATTGGCATTGTTGTTAGTTCATCTTTTCAAGTTTACCAATAAATTGTAAATTTTAGATGTTATATTTTGAATGCTCAAATTTCCATAGCATTTATGAGTTTAATTAAGTACTCTCTCTTTCTCTCTCAAAAAGCGATGCGGTTTCCTTTTTAGTCCCTTCCAAAAAGAATAATACATTTTTATATTTGAAATTTTAAACTTTATACTAATAAATTGTAAATTTTAAATGTTACATTTTGAATGTGCAAATTTCAATAGCACATATGAGTTTAATTAAGTACTCCTTCCATCCCAATTTATGTGATGTTGTTTCCTTTTTAGTCCCTTCCAAAAAGAATAATATCTTTCTATATTTGCAGATAATTTCAAACTTTTTACTAATGCTGTTTGAAAAGATGAACTAACAACAATGCCAAATACTATATATTTGGATCAAGATTTTAACATAAATACAAAATGTCATTATTTACTAATACTTTTTGATGGTTAGAGTAAGCTTAGTATAAACACATTTATTCCTAAATATTGTTCAATTACACCTCTGACAAAATACTATATCAGCCTTTGGTCATAAATGAAAGACCTAAAACAAAATTTATAAACTGGAAACCACCTAAAATGAATCTTCTCTTAACATATACAAATAGATACCTTTTTGAAAACAATTACGTAATGAATGTTTTCTTCTTTCAAGATTATACGTACGTGCAATGTATGAATTTGATAGTTAACAAAATTTTATCAATCTATCTCAGATTATATAGGGATTATATTTATGAGACGGCGGGTTAATAAAATGAGTAATAAGTTGTCCGAAGTGTGGAAGTATCTATTTAGTTCCCTTTAAAAGACATTGAACTGATTTTTCTTTAACTGTTCTTTTTATTTTGAAATCAAAGATACAAACAAAAAACATTAGTGCAAGTTCTCTTCCCCCC